CACTGCTTTGAAGGCAAAGGTGTCACAACTGGATTTTGAAAGCAAGTCCTAGTGGAACATTACTGCTCATGTGGAGGTAGCTAAGCTCTCCCATCCTCAGAAACTTACATGTATGCTTAAAAAATGAGAAGACATGCTAACATGCTTGAAGTTAATCGTGGGCTTTTTGCAAAATTTGGATCCAAATTAATGTATGAATAACCTCAACAAAGATGACAAAATCCTTCTTTACTCTGAGCTTTTAGGAAATCTCATTTTTATTGCTGCCTTTCTAAAACCTAGGAAAAAAAAAGAGTTCTGGACTTAAACTGCCTTATTGTTCCCAGATACATTAAAAATGGAAAGACACAGTGCAACAGGTCAGATCTCTGCCTGTCATTCCATTTAAGTGGCATATTTCTGCAACTTGTCAGGAGTGAAAAGCACAGGAAAAATCTTTAGACCTTCTTTGTGGCAATACTGCCTGTCAACATCAGTATTTTATGTTATGGGAAGATCTGATAGACTCATAAAATATCGGGGTTTTGAGGTAGTCTGTAGTTTTGCAATTTAATTTCTTTTCTTTCTTCTTTCATTTGTAAATAAAGGATAATAAATAGCTTTGATTAAAAATACTAAACTGACCAGATGGCAATGGATTCAAATGAAAGGAAGATGAGCTCCAAACAGGTATTAATTGGACATAGTAGTTTTCCTTTCACTTCTGCCAAAATCATAATAGCCACTTCTCTACATAAAAATGCAAACATATCCTCTTAGCTTGTACTTTTCAATGACTCCTTTCAAAATCAAAGCCCACAGAGATGCGACTGCAGTAGCATTTCTAGACCTTTTCTGATTTGGCATGCTTTAGTGTAGAATTCCAAAGATAATTGCCTTCTTCACCTCTGCTTTTACTGGTGAGATTTGCCTTCAGGAATCCCAGGTCCCAGTGGCAAAGTTTGGAGCAATTAAGACTCACCTTGGTAGAGGTAGAGAAGTATCAAGTTAGGGAACATTTGGGCTTGGTAAGTGGAGATAAAGGTGGCTGAAAACTGACCGAATTGCTGGCCTTTGTGATCAGCAATACAAATCCAGCTGGAGGCTAGTTACTAGTGGAGTACCCCAAGGGTACTGGGGCCAGTACTGCTTAAACTCTACTAATGACCCAAGTGATGGGACAGTGTACTCTCAGCAAGTTTGCAGATAATACAAAACTGGGAGGAGTGTTTGATAGGAAGAATAACCCCATACACTCTGAGTAGAGCCTTCCTGGCTAGGAAGCAGCTCTGCAGAAAAGCATCTAGAGATCACGTCAGACAAGTTGAATACTGCGGGGGTAGTCAGACACTGAAACAAATTGCCCAAAAGGGCTATGGAATCTCTGTCTTCAGGGATATTCAAAATGTAGCACAGTCATGAGCAGCCTGTTCCAGCTGCCCTGCTGTGAACAAGGGTGTTGGAATAGACATTCTCCAGAGGCCCTTGCCAACCTCAGCTGTTCCGTGATTTTCTCCATCCATAAGTGAAAAAATATCTTTCCCATCCCTGAATCAGAGACAAACCAATGATACTTTAAAAGACAAAATATGCCTTCCGGCCCACCTGCCAAGCTTGCACTATTCTTTAATTGCTCCTTTTCTTTTGAGCCCACAGACTCTTCTTCCTTCAACCTATTCTTTCCTTGCCTCTCTTCTTTTAGTTCTGTTCACCTTCATGCTCTGTACTTTTACCATTCCAGTTCTTCATTGGGTCTTTGGAGGACTGTTCCAGCACAACCCTGGGGTCTCTGTTACTACCATTTATAACAACTTCTGTGCCTTGATCTTCATCTAAGATCTTGCCAGTCTCCTCATCTTAAGAATTCGTCTTATATTGTTCCCTTCATCCTTAATCCCAACATTTAATTTTCATGGCCAAGAAAAACGCAGGTTCTTGTTCTAGACCACAAAATAGCTGTGGTTGTAATTTGAGTAGGGAATAAGTCAAAAGGTAGCAGAGTAATTATGGGGTTAGTATCAAAGATATTTCGCTTCCATTTCACTATTATTCCTCTCTGACATGTGTATAGCCTTTGCACTACATCGTGAGGGAATCATCACTATCGCTTTAGAACTGTGACAGTGCTCATACCAATTTAACATTAGCCAGTTCAGCTAATCTCTATAATGCTATCTTCAAAAACTGTACCAAAAAAAATTAAAGCTAAGGGAAAAAAATGTAGTTGCCTATTTGTTATCATGATGACTGATACGGTGAAAGCCAAGTTGTCTTTATGCTTTCATTCAAAAAATTGCTTCACCAGGGAAATGAAAGCTAAAATTGGTGATGCTGATTTAATTTCTCAAATCTGGCATATTGTTCCATACTTCCAGTAAGCCTGGTGCTGGCCACAGTTTATGCCTTTTATTTTAAAACGAGATACATTTTAATTATGTTCCCTTTGGACTTTCTTAATTGATTAGAAACATCCAAAGAGTTAATTAAAAATACAAACTTTTTTTGCTCTATATCAAATCTGACATTATGATCTTTTTATCTACAAGATGAGAATTATGCGTGATCAGAAGTCTGAATTATTCATGATAGTTTCCAGTCTTTTTTTTTTTCCTCTTCCTTTGTTCAGAATTAAATCTTATAAGCTTTTATTTCAGTCAAGGTGAAAGCAATATTAAGTCTTGGAAGTGAAACTTACCAAAGACATGTAGCTCTGTGAAATCCTTGTCCTGTAATCCTGGCTTTCTATTCACCACCACTATTCAATATCCCACTTTCTATATAAGCTTCACAATATATAAGCAGTTGATGAGATTTATTTGTTATACTCCTGTTTTTCTTCTTCATAAAAAAATCTTTATCCATCCCCGTGTTCCCACAGGAGTAACCCTGATGGCTGTGGTTGTTTCTGCTAGGCTCGCTAATCCAGCAGCTCCCTGCAAGATGCTGGGCAGTTGCTAGAGGGTGGAAAGTGAGGGGGGAGGAGAGTCATCTGCGTTAAAATTTAGGGCAGCATGTGTAGTGAATTTTAAAAGCATTGTTAAGATCCAGTTAAATAATTATGAACTAATGTGGTTGATTGTGTGAATAGAAACTCTAGCAGGTCATTTCTGAAAGATGCTTTTTGAATAAAAGCTTGACTGTAGTATGTTGGACCTCTCTAAGGGACTAAACAGTCAGAATTATTTCTGGCCATTTTGGAGACATGATAATAGAGGAGATGGAAGTTGAGTCTGATGTATGCTAATGAGTCCTACATTTCCTATTTGCAGTATTTCTCCAGATGCCTGTAGCAGCTCCATGTGTGTTTTCCTTGCAGCCTCTGACTTCATCTGTCATGGTATTTTCTCTTAAATAAATGCATTTATAACATTAAATGCATAGAAATGTAAAAGTTTTCGTATTTTTTATTAAGGTTAAAATGGTAAAGAACGCTGTTGTTGTCTTTAACCTTTAAAAAGTAAATCACTGCCTTAAAGGTGAAATTTAAACAGACAGTTCAATATGCAAATAGCGCACACACCAGATGATCTAAAGGAAGACTGCACATTTCCATAGAAAACAAATGTGAGTGTAGGAAAGCAGATGTTTTCTACCAACAGAGTGTACATACAGTTCTCAAGAGGACCTGAGCAGCAATTTATTTTCAGGCTTCTGGAAGTATGCAAATTTCTACACAATTAAATATGAACTTGAAATAGATGTCATCTATTAAGAACAAGCCAACCCAAAGAGACAATTCGGAACTTAATAGTTTAATCAAGAACTTTAAGAGGCTCCTCAATATATCTAAAGTAAATGACTCAAATGTCATCTGATTTTAGTAAAAACTTAAGTGGTCCATTAAAAAGCATCACCTGATCACTTGACCTGCTCTTAGTGATACAGTCATGGTGTATGGTCAGAATTATGTTTGCTATTTATAACTTTTAGCAGTTTACCCCAGAAAAGTCTGAGTAAGTTGAATTCTGTCCTGACACATACATAATCACCACAATTATTAATAAAATTCTTGCTGCTGGACATTATTCCAGCAGCTGTGGTACTGTATGGATGTTACTGAGGTTATAACCTGAAGAAGGGAATATTGCTAAGTGCAGTGGCATAATTTTGTACAAAGGGTATTGCTGGTGAGCTGACAGCCAGCTTCAGGAACATGGGGAGTGTATTTTTGTCTCCTTTCTGCAAAAGCACAATGGTGACATGAGCACACAGGATGGCAGAATTCCATCTTCCCACTCATCCGCTTTATCTTTAGAGAGTCTGTCTGCTCAGTTCATCCTACTGCTTTTTGTCTCTTTGTGATTCCATTTAATGGCTCCGTTTGTACACAGACATAGCCAAGTGGGGTCAGGGAGGGCAAATGTTAGTTTAGTGGACTGTGCAGCATCATATTTAGTACAAATTTTGACTAAACATATATGGTCAAATGCGTCCATTTACACTGGAAATGACAAGTTTTCAGGCTGTCAAAAGGTAATGAAGGTCACTGCCTATAGTTTTAAGAATTTAACTTCAGTCATGGATACATGGCAAGGCTTGGCCAGGGCTCTACTGGCAGGGAGCCCCCAGGACAAGTTGTGCTTTCAGAGCCCTGGTGTGCTGGTATGGTTTAATAAACACTGGACTGTCTCACATACTCCACAAACAAGGAGCATAAAAAAGAGTCTACTAAGTGGGTAGATGTAGTGCTGCTTCATTTCAAAGCAGAAATAATTGAAATGATAACAAAAATGAGCATAGTCAGCAGGGAGGCACTATGATGACAAGGGTGAGATTGCCAGGTCATCTCTGCAAGAGGAGTCATCTCAGCCTTGAGAGTTACTCTCTTTTGTACAGTGCCCATATGTTTTAAAAAACACAAATGACTACATCATGTCTCTAAAGTCACAAGTCTGTAATATTCGTGCTACCCTTTGATTGGGTGTAGAAGAATGCAAAAATTTTCATTCTCAGGCTTATTTTCCACTAGTTGAGAATCATCCTCATACACTGAGTAACATGTAACTTTTTTCTTCACACAGGTTGTAATCCTTGGCAAACATTCTCGAGGTTATCACTACATGTTAGCTAACCTGGTAAGAATTTTTCTTCATTACAAATATAGCTGAGGTTGAGAGGGTAATATATGCTGCTCAGTTTGTGTCAACCTTAATCAGCAAAAGAGTAAATGCATGAATGAGTTCTTGGATTTTGAGAAATGGCTTCAGTAAATACTGGAACTGGTATGTTATAGTTACTTGTACTCAATTATGGTCTTCATTTTATCTAAGCAGCTCATATCCTCCACTAATTTTAAAATAATAATTTAATTATATGTTTTCAACTAATTTGTGTCCTCATAAATAAGGCACTTGGTAATTGTAGTCTTCTTTACAACATTTGAAAATGAGGCACTCCAGGAAAAATAATTGTAAAATATGTATGTATAATATAAGTGTTGAAAAGCTGCAAATGAAAACAATAATTCCATCAAGTAAAATGGCTGGATGGATTTAGCCATTCTTTTGTATTATAGTGTGTAGGGTGGTAACAGTGTATGTACTGACCTTCCAGGGCAAGACAGCAAATTTTTATTTGTAACAGAACTTCTGGCATTGAATCTGAAATTTACTTTCAAGGATGTTTATAATGCCTTTGAAACAACATCTGCTAGATTTCCATAGAATAAGTATTATATTGTAATCAATACTTGCAGAAAGACTAATTTTTTGATTTCTGTGTCTACGGTGAGTAGAAAAATACTTTTCCAAAGATCACACACTGACCTTAGCAATCCCACTTAGCAGAATATTCTCTATATTCACGTTTTGGTGTGATTAAAACAGAAAAGACTAATTTTTAAATCCCCTTATTTAGTATAAGTACTGTACAACTTTAAAATGTGTCATTTTGCATTACAAGAAGCAGTCATGATCTCACTGATTAGGCTGCAGAGTGTGCATAGAAATACAGGCATTCTTATTCTGGGTTGTCTTTTAGCATGTGTAAGCACTGATACTGAGATAAACATGACTGCAATCAAGTCATGCTAATCAAAAAGACACCAATTTACTGCCACAAGTATAAATAACAACAGAGTGGGAGAGAATCACACCATTATGTTTGAAAGTGAAATGCTAAATGATGCTGTGACTGACAGCTGCTTGCCAAGGAAGTGCGTTCTTTGCCTCCCCAGAACAATACGTGTGTTCAGTGGTTTTCTGCTCCCAACATTGAACCTTTGCCATACAAAGCTCTTGGACAGGTTTTCACCATGATGAGAGAAGTGGAAGTAGTACTTCAAGCTTCCCCAATGCTTTCTTTCTGACCAGTGAATGTTATATGCCACACTACAACAGGGCAGTTTTCCATCGCAAAGGTCTGAACAAGAAGACATTTTAAAATTCTTTCCTATGCCATTATCACAATCCCACGTGCTGTCATGATAGCAATTGTCTCCTTGGTAGAACATTTTCAGCTAACAAGAAATAAATTCATCAAATTATTTTTTGCTAAGTTTTTAGCAGGTAAAACTGAACTAAATAAAAGAGGCTTTGGATGACAATGATTCCTTTTTACTACATGTGTCCTCCCAGGGTTTCACAGACATTGTGCTGGAGAGAGTAATGCACGGAGGTGCCAATGTTACTGGATTTCAAATAGTTAATAATGAAAACCCAATGGTTCAACAGTTTCTACAACGCTGGGTGAGGCTTGATGAAAGGGAATTCCCAGAAGCCAAAAACTCACCATTAAAGGTATTTATTTTACTTGGACGAGATGAAATGGGTTGCTTTTAATAATTATTTAGGGTTTTTTAACCCCAGGTGTGTAAATGTGTGTGATACACATCCCTGACTGGAATATGTTGCATTGCTCACGGCAATTCCAGAAGTGAGAAAGAAGCAAAAGTTGTCAGTCAGACACAAGTGCCCACCTCATGAGAGCAAAAAGTAAAAGGCTTGATCTTGCAAATCTAATTTTGTGCAGTGGGGATAAAAACTTATAACTTGAACATTTTGAACCAGTCTTGGGGTGCAGGTGTTAGTAATTAGGTTAGTTTTTCAATGCAAACTGTGGGCTGCTGGTCAATTTTAATGCTAACAGAAAATTTTTTGTAAAAAAATTAAATAGCTCTGGATTCACTGAAGGGCCTCTGCTGCCTGCTAGTCACTGCTGACTGTTGCTCTCATAATCTAAATATGTGTCTTCACTGCTGTCCTTTACAGAAATGCTCTGGATATTAAAGCATTTAACCAATAACATTTTCCAATACAACCAGTAATATTTTCCAAATTTGTTAAGTCCCAAGTTCACTGAAACTGTCCTAGATTGGATGAACTAAAGGTTACTATTATTAGGAGACATGCAACATGTTAATATCTCCCTCAGCAGCTATATGGTAAAGGGGGTATGTTATTCACTGTCCAATCAAGGAGTGCATCAAGGATGCTCTGGCCAATATTTCAAGTCGTAATATCTTTTAGGATCACTGCATATTATTAATATTCCTATTACATCCTTTCCTTCTCTTTTTCTTTTGATTAGACCTGTTCTTTTGCACCAATACAAATAGTTGAACTAAACCAGGAACTGGTAGGGGATAAGAGGACCTCAGAGGACCTGGTGGGTTTTCAACAGAAAGCCTGTACAGCTGGTAGCACCAGCTTCTTGGAAGAAGTAAACCAGGGAGAACAAGCTGAGAGAGAATTGAAAAAGATAGGAAAAAAAAGTGTCACTATGAAAAAGGGTAAAAATCCCTCTTTTTAGTTTTAGTTAGTTTTAGAAGGAATTGATGAATGGTATGTGGTAATAGTCTTCCAGTAAATAGAAGGTTGGTAGAGAAAAGAAAATAATCAGCTACTTTCCAGAATTTCATCACTACCATAAGCTAAACAATGCTGGTTTAGCATTAGCCTTCTCACTGGAGAACAAGACTGTTCTCCAGTCCTGCCACCAAGAAACATGGTGTGTCTATGCCCAAGCTGTTAAACTGGTCTAGCTATACCCAAGCTGTTAAAGTGTCTTAGCATCTATAAAGGGTGGCTGCATCCAAACTACCTGTTGGCGAGTCCTGTCCCATGCATGGGAAGCGGTGGGATGCAGGCTGGGCTGGCCCAAACCACTCCAGGATGGTTCTGGTCACCGAAAAACTGTGGTCAGTTGAGTTCAACTGCCCTCACCCAAGTCTTGGCAGAGTTCAATTCTGTAATGTAGGCATAACTCAAATGTCTGCCAAGACAGGGACAGGAAGCAGTCAGCTGAAATTGCAATCAAGATGATTTGTAACAAGCACAGAAGAAGAAAAAAAAAAAGGGAGGGGGGGGCGTTAAGCACAGTAAAATGTACCGTGGGAGGTAAATGGACCCCTTTGATGGTGAGTTTAAAAGCGACATATTTAAAAAGCATGTTAGGGATAGTCTATTTTGAGTGGTCCTATTTCAGAAGTGTTGGACCGGCTACTTCACTGCAGTCTTTTCCATCCTAGAGGTGGATGTGAGTTCGTTGGGGAAGGCAAATTATCTTAATCCCACGCCATCCCACAGCCTTGCTGGCATTTCAGAGAAAGCTCAGAAAGGCAAACGAAGGCCCATAATACTCAGTGTATTGTTCCCTGTTGATTAGGAGCTAGTCTTGCTTTCTAAAGCTTCCTAACAGTGAGGCAGAAGCAAAGATAAGTATTGCACTAATCTTTAAAGCTTGGAAATATATAAAGTTATCCTGGGAAGATTTTGTTCCACTCGAAAGCAATTTACCTTAAGGGAAAAATTATTCTCTATCCTTAAAAAAATAATCTTAAATATATGGTACAAACACAGAGATTACATTACCTTTCCACAGATGTACCACTCATTATAGAAATGTGCACAGTATTTGTCAATCAGACAAAAAGCATACTTAAAAATTGATGTACAATATTTTTGATTAGGAAATAAAATTGCCTAGAGATTAAAGCCCTGATGTTTAATTTATTCTGTATTTTATCAGCCTTTCCCTTCCCTCTCTCTTTTTTCTCTTTGCATGCTCATGCATTTATAAGTAGAATTCAAATAAAGTAGAAAATCAGATAGCTCTCTTGGCATGACTTGGAAGGGACTGCATTAAGGTTACTGACAATTGATGCGGTCTGCTGAAAAAAATTATCACTGTCTAAGTTTTATGTAATCCTAGATTGGACAGCTATTACAAGATTTTTTTTAAGACAAGAACAAATAGCTGTTAAAATCACTATCTGATTCCATATTGTTGTGTGGGATGTGACATACAGTCTTTGATAACTTATTAAAGAGGAGAGGGTGAGCGTTGCAAGGCCAGCACCATGAGTACTAGGTACAGTCAGAGCAAGAACACCCCTCACACACTGAGTAAGGGTTTATAAACTGTTGTCATTTAAAACTCTGTAAGGAAGGCTCCTGTAAAGCCTTCATAATGCTACCTTTGTGCTCCTTTTTATCAGATCTGCTTGTCTTGATCTGCACACACAGGTATGCTTTGTTCTGTTCAGATTTCCTGAAGCTTTGTATCAAACTGAAGATCTTGCAATACGATGATACACATTTTTAAGAAATTCAGACCACTACTCATGCCGACCTGCCCTACAGGACAGAACTAACTGCCTCAGAATTTAAGTCTTATCCACAAAGAGAGTGGCTGAGTACATACATAGGCAGAAGAGCAAGCACACCAGTACACACAGATAACTCTTCCACTCATCTTTTATTTCCCCTCTTCATTCTCATAGAAAGATGTGGAAGAAATAGAAAGAAAAAAAAAAAAGCACCCCTATGATATTTTGTAGGTGCTATTAAATTTATGGCATTGGGAGATGTCACCAGATACACATGTCAAGCAATGGATGAAGTTGACAGCAGCATAAACAGGTTGTAAAGGAGTCTTGGGGTTTTGTTGAAGACTTGTTGCTACACAAAGCTTGTCACCTTCCTCAGATTTACTGTGTGAGAGAAGTCAGATGGGCAATGTCAGATGGGCCAAAGAAATGTAATGCCTAACATGTTTTTCGTGATTACTTGCTTGTATATCCGTCTACTAAAAAAAGTTATTTGATCTATTTCCAGCCACAGATGCTACCTAATCAGGATTGTGGTCCAAACAGAAATGATTTATGTTACCTTCGATTCAAAACTGTCTTGGCAATCTTGTTAAAAAAAAAAAAAAGTTTTCCAAGCAAATAACAAATATGAGCTCTCCTTTGCTATTAGTAGCAGCAGGGTCCAGCACGGAATTGCAGATTTTTGTAGTGACCTCATTTAGATGAGCAAGCTTCCACTTAAACTTCATGCAGCTGCAAACTAGTTTTGTTATTTTGCTGTTCTGTACTATGCAAAATGAAAATATTTTTTATTTGTTATTTGAGATAAGTGGAATGGTTTAACAATGTAAAGCATCTGTGGCCAGACAGAGTGCAAGCAAAAGGGCTTGTATGCACAGTTCTTCTAAGAGCATTTTAACTAGAGAAGGACCAGACCTGATAAATCTAGGATGATTCTAAGATTGCAGTTTGTCACCATGTTTTATTTGGATCAATTTTAGTATACATCTGCACTGACCCACGATGCAGTCCTAGTCATAGCAGAGGCTTTCCGTTACCTGCGAAGGCAGCGTGTTGATGTCTCCAGGAGAGGTAGTGCTGGAGACTGCCTGGCTAACCCTGCAGTACCGTGGAGCCAAGGAATTGATATAGAAAGAGCGCTGAAAATGGTAAGGGCAAACATATTGTGGCTATGGGATATATTCACTAATGTAGCATTGCCCACACATGTAGAGATGTTTATTAAGTTCAACATTCACAGTAGTTAAAGAATTTGTACCATCTGTTTGAACTTTATGGCAAGTGAGACATTGAAAAGCGTCTTAAAAAGAGCTGCATTTTCCCACCAAAGATAGAAATAAATTAAATATGAAGTCAAAAGGTGTCAAATGCACAGTGCTCATGTCTCAATACACACCAGGATGAACCTGACCTAACAAGCTCTGCTGAGACATACAGTCATTGTTGTATTAAGGTAGCAAGACAGCTTCCAGCAAATGCCAAAAGCAGGCACAGCAACTCCAATCTGGCTGCAAATTATATGTCAGCGACCCTGCAAATGCATTTACTCAGTCCACAGTTGATAAAACCTTTTTAGGGACAGATTTGGCTTTCAAAGTCCCTTGCACATCTTTAGGTTTTTGGAGATGGGATTAACTTACATATTCTTCCAGACTCTTGAAATCATAAACTGTTTTACAAAGGGTTCAGATCCACTTACTAATAATAATTTAAAAAAAATACACTACTACACTACTTAAATGTCATTCTTAATTTGTCTCACTGGATAATTTGGGGTCCAAGGAATTTTGACTGTTTTAGGGAGTCCATCCCTATCCATCATTACAAATTTCATTGCACCATCTCTTAACCATATAATTAGCAGATCAGTAACCAGCCCTGAACATCTCCAGGGACCATGATTTCAGAGTTTCCCTTTGACCAATTTTCCATTAGTCATTCTGTACCTTCTACAGCATTTTGCTGAATATTAAAGATAATTTACCCCTACTGCAGTTTCAGACTGTTACCCCTTTGCCTAAGATGACAGCTTGTCAGTGTTGATAAGGGATAAATGGAAATATCTTACCCTTTTATACTGGGAAATAAGAAAGATTATTTTCTTTGAAACAAAGTATTTCATACTTCCCCTTAAAATGATTCATGTGACTAGGTAATGATAATGACTTACCATCTATATACTCTTCCATCCAGATTGAGACCAAAGCTCCATAAGCAGTAGAGACAATTGTCTGTGTTCATTCAGAGAAGACATTCATTCCTTTCTCCTACGCTGGGACTGATCTTAAAATAAAGCACTTCCCAGAATGAGCAACGATACGAGAGTCTGGTCCATATCACAAATCACTCTATGCCATACTGTGAGGGGTTTAATGGCATTGAGTTGTTTCAGGTGCATCACTGATACTCCATTCTGTATCAGCAAACCCAGTGTGACTAAGCATGGCAGAAACAGTCTTTCTTACATTTAACATACATGCAGGGATAATTTCACTTACACTTAAGTGCAGCTCACTCTGCAGTAGTGAGTCACCAGCTGAGTACTAACTAACAAAGAATATGTACAGCTGAAACTGAGAGAATTGGGGCTTTTTTATTACAAAGAATACCACTGGCTGTGTCAGAACTGCTACACGTCTCTCATATAGATAAAAATTGTGCTGGAGCTAGTGAGTTCCTGTAAAATGTAACAGAGGAAAAAAAAAATAGAGTGATTCTGTTATTAAAATGTTTTGCTGGTTGATTTTTTCTGTTTATTGCCTTAAGGTGCAGGTTCAAGGAATGACAGGGAACATCCAGTTCGACACCTATGGGCGGAGAACAAATTACACAATTGATGTGTATGAAATGAAGGCTGCTGGATCAAGGAAGGTGAGTTTCATGATAGGCATTTAAATTCCATACCTTCAGAAATATTTATTCCAACAAATTAATGGAACTCAAAAATACTATGCAGCCTCTGTAAAAAAAAGGACCCAGAGGAATCCTTACCTTCTTGCTGTCCTCCAGGAACCTTGTTCTATTTTGTTCCTGAACCAAATCACTCATCCTGCTTAATATCTTCATAGGTTTCCATTTCAACTTCCAGCCCCACTTCTTCCATTAGAAGCCACGTGGAGCTTTTCCACTGCTGAGCATGCTACCTGTTGTCATGTCCCTGTGCTCAGCCCAATATCGTAAATTCCTCTCCATCTTCCCCTTCCTCTCCATAAGAGGCATCAGAGCAATAGGGAAGACAGAGTAAGTGTATTTTAGAAACCTTCTGAAATTAATAGAACATAATTTGAGTTTTAATTAGGATTGTCACTACTTGTTCTTGTCTCCTAAATAAAGTATAGATTGTAAGTGGTGTGGTTGGCTAGGTCCCTGTTATAAAAGCAATTTAGGGCAAATTTTCAAAAATAACTAGATAGGCAAGCTCTCAGGAGTATCGAGAGATGAGTCTGAGTGTATGAGACAGAAAAGTCCTGATGATAGACACCTGATGATAGGTACCTAACCTGTTTAGTCACCAGTGCGACTCCTTAATCAATTCTGCACATACTTGATAACAAAATACCTCTGGACATGGCCCAGCCATTCAGCAAGGTTTACAGCGCAGACATAAGTGTTACTGCTATATTGTGCAGAAATATAAAAAATGGTGTAATAGCATAGCAATGTAGCCACAGCACTATGAAGGTCAGCACAAGTCAGATGACAAATAGTCACCTCATACTAACCAAGGGTTTTGTAACCCACCTCGAAGATTAAGCTACTGTGCCTGCATTGCTAACAGTGGCTGTGCATCTACTCGAAAGTTAGTTCAGACACATCTACAGGTACTGTATGCACTGTCTAAACTGCAGCAGAATATGGATAAATGTTTCAAAATCAAATAATTTTACTCAAAGTGCTATGGAGTTTATTTTCCCATTTATAGTTAATCCTTATCCTGTGGATAGAGAGGAACTTATTCTACAGGCACCATAACAATGTGAACGTAGATAGTGAGAATTTAATATGTATTTTCACTTAGATTCAGCTTGTATTTATTAAAGCTCATGTAGCCCTGCATAAATTTTACAAAATCATATATTTTGACAGTTCTTGTTATAAATTAATGCACCAGAGTCCTTGTAAAAATATGTAATGAGATTAACAATCTCCCTTTTTATAGTCTGGTTATTGGAATGAATATGAAAGATTTGTGCCAGCATTAGATCAGCTGCCCTCTAATGACACTTCATCCGTGGAGAACAGAACTATAGTAGTCACTACTATCTTGGTAAGTTTCATGTTCTTAGTGTGTTTGTGTTTAGGAAATAAGATGCATGGCTCCTGAGATGTGTTAGACACCTCATCAAGAGGCAAATGTTGAACGCTAAATGTCTTCAAGTGACTGAAAAGTTTGGTATCTTCAAGATACGTGCTGAAGGCTTGACAGTGTAAGCTTCTATGCGTATCAGTAACTTTACTCAGAGGAGTCCCACTGAGCTCAGCAGTGTGCTTCTCTGCTTCTCAGACACTTGAACTCAGTCAAATGCCTCACATAAGTGAAGTTATGCCTGTATGTAAATGATTATTGCAGGGTCTGGCCTCCCTGCTCTAAGGTCACATCTTGCACACCTCACTCAGGTACAGCTTCTGTAAACTCAACCCCTGTGGACTGAGGAAGGGAGGCACAAGGAAGCCTGTAGAGAACAGGAAATGCTCTAGCACTGGGAGTAAAGCTATCTATACCCATGCACTTCCAAAGGAGTAATGCTCTTCCTGTGTCTCATAAACAGCAGCACCTGTGTCAGACCCAGTGCCTCTACCAAATGTGTTCTGTGCAGCATTATTTGTGACTTTTATGCCTGTTACAATTCTATTAAGCATGAGCTGATTTTTGCTATTTCCTGAAGCACTGTATTTTATGCTCCTATGAATTTAGTGAGATATAATCAGCATTTCAGCCAGAATTTTCTAAGAAGGCTAAGGGAATTTAGTGACAAAAAACCACTGCCAAGGATTTTAGCCTAGCTTATCTTAGGCTGCTTTGAAAATATCCCCATCAGTGCCCCTTTCTATGCCATGGGGGCCTTAGAAAATTATTTTGATGCTGCAGGTGTTGGGTATGTCAGTTCTTTAAACACTAAAAACAGAATTATTACTGCAGTGATGCCAATCAACTGTCTAATAACGTAAAAATTAGGCTTAATCTTACAGACAATAATGTAACTGTTAAAGTTGAATAGTCCTGTTGTCTTCAATGGGTCCACAGTAGGAATAAAATCTGTAGTATGTGTGACTGTAGGACCATGCCAAGGATTTTCAGCCTAAAAAAGTCTGTCTTCCTGATCTCTGTACCAAAGTAAAGAAATATTGTAAATGTTTACCAGTTGTATAAAGTAAGGATAATAACAGCTCTCGTTTTGTGTGTTTTAAAGTTGTATTTTAATTCATAGACTTTTGATCTTTTGTTTCAAAGGAATCACCATATGTAATGTATAAGAAAAACCATGAACAACTAGAAGGGAATGAGAGATATGAAGGATATTGTGTAGACTTAGCTTCTGAAATAGCAAAACATGTTGGAATAAAATACAAACTGTCAATTGTTGGAGATGGGAAATACGGAGCTAGGGACCCTGAGACTAAGATATGGAATGGCATGGTGGGTGAACTGGTCTATGGGGTAAGTTTCTCTTAACCTTCATTTTCATGTTCTCTATTATAAAAAGTTATGCTCAAAGTTAATAAACTGCAAAATAAAGATCGTCTGTTTGAATACCACATTTAAAATTATAGGTATTTCTTTGTAATACTGCTTTTATAGCACAGTTTTTCTAACCATTTCTTTGTTGGAAAGTGTCACATTCTGTCACTGTTCTCCAAACCAGAATCCACAAAATGTTGAGAAGTAGCACTGGGAAAAATTCAAATTCCTTATGTACAGCAGATTTTCCAGTTTTCCCTTCATGTGCTGCTTTTTTAGTTGCAATGTCTCCTTTTTCTCTCTCAGTCCTGTAAGTGATGAGGGTTGCCCCTGCTATTAAAGGTCTGATCCTATGATGTTGAGCCTCACCGGATCACTGATGTCAGATTGTGTTTGACTAAAGGCTCAGTTATCCCCATGCGTGCTTTTCAGGATAGGAAGCAATGCAGGCCTGAAATCACCCACAACTTTTTCTCTTTAAACCCTGGATTTGTCTTTTAAAATGAGCTGTCAGACAAAAAAAAAAAAAAAAAAGTCTAAATCATTACATTCCTCTTTATATTTCTATATCAGGTGTACATTGCTTTCTTTAGTAAGAACAAAAACAGCAAAAACAGTCCAGAATTGCCATTTTAGAAACTTCTTTGGAAATGTGAATTTTGGACTGCTGATACAATAAAGCAGATGGAAGGGGGAGAAAGCTGGCTTTGCAGAAAAGACTTTACAAGCTGATATGTCATCTTTGCTTTCTTTTTTTTTCCCCACAAATGCTAATAAGGTGATTTGTGATTCCGCCCAAACTTTAAGGTTTATTTTTAACAAGCTTTCCTTTATTAAGAATATCTGAGCAGAAGTGATGTTTCCATTGCCTCCTTTTGTTCCCTTGCTGAGTGTAGTTTCTAAAAGTCACCTCAAAATTCCTCTGTGATAACATCATATCATCATCTCTTGCAAACTGTGTGGTGGGATAAGTCTTTTCAAATCAGTCGTTTTTAAAAGTAGTTGCTGGATTTTCAAAAAGTTTTTTTTTTTTCCTCCTCTGGAGCAGTCAGTCCTAATCCCTTTTTACATACTCTGTAGCCTATTCAATTTCAAAAGATTTTATACAAGCAACAATGCTTTTGTGGTGTTGTGCTAAGGGGAGGGAGGGAAATCTCCCGATGAAAGTAAACAGGGGTCTGGAACCCTGGTTTGTATCTTCACTTTCCTGTTGCATTGAGATTTGACATTATGAAAGTTTTTTGAACATCCAGTGCCTCAATTCTGTGATTCGGGAAAAGTGTTACCTCTCTTAGAGAACACAAGTCTGTTGAGAACTTCTGAAGGGAATGTTTAGTTTAGTTTCGAGCATGATTGCATTGCAATGAAAACATAAATCCTCAGTTTCTCAGTGTGTAGCTCAAGCAATATCAAGGGTATTAGCTGTAATTGGGTCCTTTTGATATATTTGCGAGTGACAAGCAATGAAACAGTTTATTCACTTAAAAGAAAAGTCATATCATACGCCAAAAAATAAATTAAATAGAAATTAACAAAGGGAATATGAAATTACTACTAACAGCCAGGGCACAGGGACCATCTATGCCAGAGGAGGAAAGGTGTGATACAGGCCACTGCCTCCATGACGTGAGCCAAGTAAGACTAGGCTGTGCAGCTGCTGAATGATGCAGAATCCATCTGTATTAAGGGCTCGCAGACCTGAGCCATATTCCTATTTCAGCCCAGCCTTTGCTTGGATAAGCAGGTTGGTAGCAGCTGCCTTTTCTACAGCCACTTGGGATGAGCCTCACTCAGGAATCTCTGCCTCCATAGCACCAGACTGAGCCCAGGCCACTTCTCAACCCAGCCACACCTGTGACCTTTCCACACCAGCAAAGTACAGCCTCAGGGCACCATCCGCCATACCTTGAAACACCCCCGCCATTGTCATTTTTCCCCACAAAAAAAAAGGTCTGTTCTTTTGTATCCTGTCCCAGAGTTTTCATCTGTGTTTTCTCATTAATGAAAAATTGAGGAACGTTTCCCTCCCTGGCCTCCAACAGCTCCTCTCTGCACACTGTGAGCTTGTTTACCCAGCCTCTTAACTGCAGGCTCAATTATTCAAAGGTCAGCTGCATCCCTCAAGGTTTGACTGGAAGCCCGGGTTAATGCTTGCAGATTGGCACTGCTGGGCTAGCTCCCCATCCTGCTGAGCTGCGCAGAGATCCACCCGGCTTTCCGTAAGCAGGGGAACAGCCCCTGAACTCAGCACAGAACTCCCCAGCCCTGTTTGCCAACACCATGGCCTCTTTCTCCAGCTGTTGAGAGGGGGCTATGTACACAACTCACAAGGATGTGCACAAAGCCCTTTGAAGATGAAAAATGCTCTAGAAGTGGTAATTATTTGGAACAAGTGCTTCATTCATGTTCTGACTTTCCTTTATCTCTCAGGGGCTCAAAACTCTATTAGGAAATGAAAACTGTACATTTCCCCTAATGCCCCTGTGAGCCTTGTCTGCAAAATGACTGTCGTATTTGGCTCCTTCGGATTCCATTTTGGGAAGACAAGAGGGAGATTAGATTTAAATGCCTTTATTAGCATGTGTGGAAGACAGACATGGGGGAATAAAAGGGGCCTGATAGGTTTTGGTACCAGTTATCCAGCAGCTGAACCGAGCTGTGGCAGCAAACACACATCTTCTAGATTGCATTTGTCTCAAGTGTTTCCTATGTTAAATGCAGCATATTCGTGGTCCGACGAGCTTGTAACCACCACCTGGTTCTGCTGGGAAGTCTTACCAATTTTTTTTTAATGCTGTGCCCTTTTTTGCATAGCCCCATGCACACAACACTTACCTAAAACTACTCTTAGCACAATCACAGGAAGTGAATGGCGTGGCATTTCAGTGCCAAAACCCTCATTAACTGTAATTAACGTTTAGTGTGTGCCAGTTCTTTGCTACTGTCACTCTTGCTTCCTGTAGGATGCAGTGCAGCCAGGTCCTCACAGCCTCAGGACACTGCAAAAACTAAGAGAAAGTTCAAACTCAGAGAAATTTGTAAAACACAGTAGAAACTTTTAACAGTAACAAAGCAAGTAGTTAGAGCTTTTTCCTGCACATTTCTATTTAGAAGAGTATTTTTCATTCTTAACTGAGACTTAGAAGTATCAGAATAAGTTTATTAAATACTTCTGTTTCCAGATCAGTAATTTCTTTTGTTTTAGACTTTCCTGGTGAAAAGTGGTTTCTCGTTGCTGTCATCACCAAGTTCATGCTTCTGCATAACCAGGGTGCCACTTTTTCTCACTGCTGTGCAAGCCTAAAACTTGACTTACACATGAGCCATATTCCCCATTAAGATTTAAGGTGCACACATGTTGAGGAAGCTAAATAGCCATGTTATTAATACATAAATTGATTTATGCTCCTTCTAATATCCTGAGATGAAATAGGGAAGCCAGCCTATACTGATGCAACACAGTGAAGCTCACCCAAGGACTGGGGACTGATCAGACAGACACTTGCCTTCTGTGTAGTTAAAGCAGTTAAACTCTCCTCAGTTTGCACGAGTGAATTGCTATTTAAACCTCAGCAGCATGGCAAGCACTCCCCTTCTGTGATCCACCCGCTAACGACCTGCATGCCTCCAGCACTGAGCAGGCAGAGGCATGCATGGGACTTTGTGCCTGCCGCTGCTGTGCTCCAGACAATGGGCTGCTCTCCTGTGCAGGCTTTTATTGCTTCTTCCCCTCTCAAACTAAGCCGTTGCTCTTCCTTCAGTGTGCAGCCAGGGAAAGGCTTCCCTCCCCGGGGCCTGATGCTTTTCACATTGCTGAGGCTAATTGGCAGTAGGTTTAACATGTATCTTAATTGTAACTACAAGTGCTTTGGGAGTGGGAAGAGCAGACGGACCTTACAGCCTTTAAAACTCTCCTCAGGTACAAAAAGGCCTTTATAAAAACCTCGGAATATGTAAAACACTGTGAAGGAACAAAGCAGGGGTGTAAAGGGAAGGCAGTCCCCCAGCTGTGCGCAGCCTCCACAGTCGGTCCGAGTGAGACCACGTACACATATCCCTGCCCTGAACGGGCTGACCAGCCGCCACAGCCCTCAAAGCAGAAGCAAAAAGACCACGTGGACAGCTTTTGAGTAGTAGCTGAGAAGACTAATTCCACTCCTCAAAAATATTTCCTCATGCTCTCAGTCAATGGCAGCATTCCCTGCACAGCAGGCAGGAGAAGCCCTCCACCCACCCCTTGCCGCTGGTTCAGGCAGTAGCAAAGGCCAGGTACAAACACCAAAAGGCACTAGGAGGTGTCACACCAGTGGCGCTACCAGGGTTCAGCCACTGTGCACCCCGAGAGGGAGGCGTGAGATGAAAAAGCAGATGTGTGCTGCTTTTTTCCATTTTCCAAAAACAACAGTAGTATCTTGGGAGGAACTGTGGGCATCCTTTGGACATGGAAAGTACTTAACAGCAGATGAGGCCAACTGCAGTTTTAATACCAAAATCATTTTTTTATGTTACCCAACTAATACACAGTAATACTTCAATGTGGCTTGTTGCTGCTCCAATTTCACCTGTTGTTTGTAAATAAGTGTTAAAAGCACAGTATCCTCATAATCTGGCCCCTCAACACACCCTGATATCCCTGGGTATAGTGGACTCCATTCTCAAGGTAGCTTTTACCGGCAGGCACTGCAGGTGATGTGTTGCTCTGTCTGACACCCTGTCCTGGCACCTGAAGACCTTAGTGCCCAAATGAGTCATACACTGCTCAGAGTCAGTTGTCACCCCAACATGGTCTCTTTGATGCCACTGTGTGCCTGCATTCACTTTTGGGGTGCCTGATGGAAATCGGGCAGTCAGCACCTGGCATGGTGTCCCTCTGCTTCAGTCTGAACATAGGTGCATGCTGGGGGGCACCCTGTAGCACAAACCTCTTGCAGAGTGACCATAGCCCAGACCCACTTCTTGAAAAGTGATGCACTAGCAAAGAAATTCTTCAGCCCTGCAGACATGAACAACCAGAAAACACGTACCGGCAGGAGCCTAGCTGGTATCTCTTGCTACCTCTAGTGCATGCCTTTAAAGATAGTAAGGCTCATCTTTAGGTCTGTAAGCAGAAGAATTCCATCCCTCCTTTTGGATTACAGAGGTGGAACATCTTATCATTTTTCTTTCTCCACGCAGAGGGATATTTCCATTTACTTTTTTTTTCTTTTTCCCTCCTCTTAAGAGTCTTGAGATTTGCAGCCCCCTGGGGTCAGCTTTGAACAGAGTGGGCAGTGCCTCTGTGCTGCATGTCCTCCCTAAATCCGTCTTCCCACACTGGTAGGCAGAGACAGAACGAGCCTCAGAGGAATCCATGGCATTTCTCTCCCGGCTTAAATGCAGTGAATATGATGTTTGAAACACCATTAGTCATGAGTGATTAGCAAAGCTTAGTTGTTGAGGTTCTTAACTGCCCCCCCTCCACCTCTGCACAGGGAAGGGCATGTTTGTGGTTGTGTTGTGCAATTATTTTTTTTTAATCTAGTTCAATTTTTATGGGTTCAGCTTATCTGCAGCCATAACAAGGAAAGAGATTCACAACCATGCTGCAATTATTAATAATCCGTTAGGGGTGCTTAGAGCTCTCCATAAGCTCTCTCCATTTCAAATATTATATATCTAAATAAATAAGCAAAGAGTGGTCTGATTTTAACCTCTCCAGTGTAACTAACACTCAAGGAAGTGGTGGGGAATGGGGCTCAAGTGCTGGATTTTTGCTGGGCCACTTTCAGAGCCCATGTTGTTGATGGTTTCCTGAGACCCTATACCTGACTTAATTTCATTTTCATCTTGTTCCCTTTGCTGAAACAATTGCCAGCATATTCATTTAAGACATGAGGATGTTTCTTGGTGTTCCCAATATGTAGAAGTCCCATCAAATATGGTAGGAAAGCAGGAAGACTGAAGTGTTTTAGAAAAATAAATGTTTCTATCCCTAGTAATATTAAAACACAACTTAAAATCATTTACAAAGAAATGCATGCATGATACAAATGAGAACATGGTAACAATTGGGCATTTAAAAACTAATTTGTCAGTGCTAAACAGAGCATCAGCTTCATCCTCTGAAAGACCCCACAGGAACATCCCACATGAGCTCAGCTGCTCATGAAAGAGATACAGGCTTTATTGCATGCTGCATCAGCACTTAGGAAGAGCTCCACTTTGGCAATTAAAATATTACTTTGGGAGAATTAAATTTCTCCAAGTCCAGGAAAATGCTACAAAAAGTAAACATGCTTATAGCTGATCCAGCCTCTTCCTGCCTCGACAAGCTGGCTGTCCATGTGCACAAGGACAGGTGGTGAGGCTCCCACCTCCCACCTCAGCTCCACTTCTTGTGGAGTCATTGCCAAGTCTCTGCAGGTGTCCTGATTCATTCAGCTTGCTCTAATAGGGATTAATTTGTAAGTACCTCATTAGTTCAACATGAAACACGGTAGCCATGGTCAAAGTGCTTAGTCTTCCAGCCAGCAGTGGACTCTACATTTAGAACTGATATTCTGTGTGCATCTCATACCTACTGACTGCACACGTTTAATATTTAATAGTAGTTCAATAAGCAGTGCCTAAAAGACAAATACACATTTGGGAGGAATTCATCAGTGAGCAACTTCCAGAACCATCCAGTCCCTTTACCACACTCTACCCATGTGCCCCCAAGTCTCCCTAATACTTGGACAATTAACATGTTCATCTGCAAAGCCAGTAAACACCCAGCCATTCAACAGCAACCAGTACTTTCAGTCTCTAGATGCACGCTATGTTAAACTAGATTTTTGCAGCATGATCATTTGGAGGGTTTTCTCTTTGAGGAAAACATTCACTCAAGGGGAAAGGCAGTGTCCCAGCATGCATGAATGTCTAAAGGTGCTGAGGGGGGCTGTAGTGATGTACACCATGGGCTGTGTTTTCCAAATGGCTTCCTTAAGTACACAGACATGGTTCATTTGATTATTCCAAGCAGTGAAATTATTCCAAACCTCTTGGTTGTACACACAAGTGCAAACTGTTAGGAGACATTCCTGAGAGGCTGGAGCAAGTCTGGAGGTTGTGTGCAGACAGAGAAGGCAGGCAGGGCTGCTGTCAGCCCCAGCCTTACGGCACTGAGAAGGTGCCTTGGGCATGACTGCCCAGGGACTCTGCGACACCATCTGGTACAGGGTGGTGAGGCTGAGGTTAACTTTCCAAGAAGCCCTTGCCATTGCTGCTTATTAAACTTACACAAAAAAATAAATAAATAAGCAAACAAACAAAAAAAGTAGGAAGATCAGAAAATCAGTTATTATTGAAAGTCACGAACATCACCATCAGATTTACATAAAGGCATATTCAATTATTTTATGGCAAAGATTTTCATCACTTCTTGACATTTCCTTAATGTTTCACTTTTATTCAAACTTCTACTTAATAAGGTTTTATTTTTCTGTCAGATACATACTTACTAGTTAGATATAGAACACTGATTTAAAGGTGCACAATGGCTTGGTTACTGCTAAGTTGAACTTTCCCTAAGAATCACTTTTTCTTTATGAAATTCTTAATTATGAATGAAAGGCCATCTTGAAAAGGACAAATATCACAAATAATTATAGGCTGCTTAAAAGAGGCAGAAAATTACAAACAAAAAAAAGGTATGTAGAGTCAGAATAATTAAACCATTTTCTTAATGTGCAAAAAGACTTTTTTTAATTTAAAACAACAACAACAACAAAAAACATCCTAGTCCCCTCTAATTGATGACATCAGCTTGAGTACTTTGCTGAATCAAGGTTAGGTTATCAGGTTATGACTTGACTCCTTCTGGTACCAAAATAAAATTAAAATTAAATATGTTGAAAATCTATTCTGGAATGCTATTTCTAATAAAGTAACTAAGCATTTTTTTTATTTTTTTGTTTACTTCTCATTCTTACCCTCCCTCGGAATCCAGCAGAGATGTAAGGATTGAAAGGAAGGGGTTCCAGGTATTGCCTCATTGCAAATACCGACACACTGGTGAATGGTAGATGCAATGAGATGAGATTGTGCTTCCATATGACCCATCCTCAGAGAATGGTCTATGTTACAGATCTATAGAGTTGAGGTTTTGTATAATAAAACGGCATAGATTATACTCAAAACTACTATTTCGCATTTTGCTCAGATAATCCAGGCTATTTACTTCTCATGGACTCACAGATCTGTATTACTGCTCTTCAGTGACCTCAGAAAGGATGAACTGCCTGGTTCTATCAGCCCACTATTCTTCCATCATCTATCCCTTATTGCAGTGGAGTTCCAGAGCAATATATAAGGGGTAGTGCCCAAATCCAGCTGAAATTCAATGACTAATCACTTCTCTCAGGTTCCTTTTAAGGACCCTGGACTAATCAGTAAGGGAGTAAGAACTTGCTTTAAGAATGAAAAAGAGAACATCCAGATATAACAAACCCATAATTTGCCCCATGTCCTCAAGACAGATGGATGGATACAGGCTATTACTACAAAATGATGTAGGAGTCAAGAAGCAAGCACTTGCCATCACACTGTGTCTATCAGGCATACAAGGATAAACCCATGTAAAAGGGAAAAGGGCATGCTCACAAACTAGCCCTAGAATTATTCCCCTTCTCCCCTAATGACTCCCCTTCCTGGAATTAAAAATTGACAATGTCAAAAAACTTTTTAATGACTAAAAAGGAGATTTAAAAGCCATCAGTAATCCACCTGAACTTGAGCACCAAACACAATCATTTGTTGTTTCATTGTGTTTTGTTTGTGTTTTTTGGTGTTTTTTTTTTTCTATTATTTAAGTACATTTGTACATTAAATACAGTTCATTACTGATCTGGACTTGAAATGACATTCTATATGCAAGTTATATTGACTTCCTATGTTATCCCGGAAAATATAGCTTTAGTTGTAGTTTAATGGTCCAGTGAAAGTAACGTTTATTTATCCATTGACTTAACAGAAACATAAATACATGTTGGTATATATCTCCCTCTGTCTTGAGGGCCTTGCACAGACATGTTTGTATTTTTTCTTGTTAAAAATTTTCTGTCCATGTAGTCCTAAAACAACTTCAATGACAGCAAAATGGGCTGCAAATAATGTTTCCTACTCATTCTTGTAATTCATCATCTGATTCATTAACGTCAGACTCTAGATTGTGGTCATGTTGCAACTGTTCTGTAACTAACTTGGCTTTGTTTTCCCTTTTCAGAGAGCAGATATAGCTGTTGCCCCCCTCACTATAACATTGGTGCGAGAAGAAGTCATAGACTTTTCCAAGCCCTTTATGAGCCTGGGAATCTCCATCATGATCAAGAAGCCTCAGAAATCTAAACCGGGTGTATTCTCTTTCCTGGATCCTTTGGCTTATGAAATTTGGATGTGTATAGTCTTTGCTTACATTGGCGTCAGCGTAGTTCTTTTCCTAGTCAGCAGATTCAGCCCTTATGAATGGCACTTGGAAGACAGCACTGAAGAGCCACGTGACCCTCAGAATCCTCCTGACCCTCCAAATGAGTTTGGAATATTTAATAGCCTTTGGTTTTCCCTGGGTGCCTTTATGCAGCAAGGATGCGATATTTCTCCAAGGTTTGTTCCATACCATTCCATTACCTTTTTGCATTTTATGGTCATTTTTGATGCCATGGTGCATATATGTTACGTTTTCAATTTTCTTTTCAATTGCAAATTTTTGTTTTGACATCCCATTCAATGCTAAGCTTCATCATCAATCCAATGTTTGCTAACATTCACCTCAAAAGTGAGTGTCATTGCCTTATAATGCCACTTATGCATTTCTGCCAAACTTATATACACCATGTTGAGGCTGTAAAATGCATGGGGTTTTCTGTTTTCAGCAATGCTTGGAGGGCTACCGTGTTTTTGCTGCATATCTCATTTTACGGTCATCTCCTTGGTGCATATAACATATTATGCTTTGCAAAATCTGAATTATTTATTTTTAAAAAGCCACATGCAACAGCACTTTAAAACACCTTCACTCCTGCCATGGCTTCTGCTATTTTTGCCTGCTTTTTTTGTCCTTCATTTCTCTAATTTTGTTCTTGAACTATCTTTTCATCTATTAGTAATTTGCTTACTACCATGTTCTATACGTTCAGGTCTCCATGTGTGCTCCTCTAGAAGTTATGGTGTGTATCCTGTGTGTGCATTGTTATTTATATCTGGCCTAATGCATTTTCCCTGTGTTCATAGTCAATATGGTCTAATAAGCATTGCTGGTTTCCATAAAGATTTTTTTTTCATTCAAGAAGGCAGTCTTTCTGAATAAGGCTTTAGTAAAACGTGCTTGGTATTAGTTCTATTTTAACAGCAAGCACTGCTATTAACCATTGTAGAATTGCATTTCTTTTTCAAAGAAGCATTTTGAAAACCACCAGAGAATAGTAAAGTTCTCTCTATTTGAACAATGCATACCTCAAATATTTTTTAGTAATACATATATTATGTTCCCACCTATACACTGTTAAAATACTTCAGTGATGTGCCTGTGGTAAGCGGTAAAATTATCTAGTTTCTTAGTGATAGAACAGTAATTATATTTTTTATGAAAATATTTTAAAATCCAGTTTACAGCTATTTTAATTATTAAAATACCTGTTTAGTACAAACAGGATGCAGTTTTTCCCTTTAACAAGGTTGCTAATTAAATCAAGAGAGACAGATATTTTCTGACTAAGCACTTATATTCAAAATACACCTTAGTAATTTCCATATTTGTGTACCTTTTGCAAGACTTATATTATTCAAAAGTTAACAAGTTTTCCTGGTCTAAGAGTGAAAAAAGTGACAAAACCTCATGGAAGGAAGTTTCATGGAAATGATCATGATCTTGCCTGTCGTAATCTAATAATGATCCTTTAAGCTCACAGTCATTGCACATTCAAATCTGCTAATGACTGCAGTGAGGTCCAGGATTTTCAGAGATGCCTGTCATTATTTGATGCACATAATTCATATGTTTTAGAAGTCTTGATAGCAGCAGGTAGATACCATATGTAGCTGACAGTTGCATATACCTCCCATATAAAACATACATGTGATATTTTTGCCTGGTTATGACCCCACATCACAGTTCTCAGTGTTTCAGTGTGCTGTCTCACTGTCCTGCTACAGCTGCCAGCCTCCTTCTCCTGTTTATATGCTCAATCTCTGCTTTATTCCCAAATTCTGTAATGAAACTTTGCTTGCTGTTAAAAGTAATGGGTAGTTATAACATTTAAATTGCTGTTGACCATGTGTGTGCCTAATACAAAGGACCGGGAAATAAGCACTGGGACATCACATGGAAAGCTGTAGGCATTATACAGTTTCTGCTAGGTCTGTTTATTGACAGCAAATAGCAGTGCATAGGATTTTTGTTAAGCTCTCGTGTGACTCTGACATGCTCAGCCATATATAACATTATATAACGAGTGGAACACTATTTTTTTCAATATTACTATGATAAGTGCCTTGGAAATACCTACAAAAAACAGAGAGAGCAGTAAACCTATTTATTTTATCTGTCCATCAGAAGCTGTTAGGTCAATATTAATTCATGGTCCTCGTTAGAAGATACTATCTGGCTGTTTTGTTATCTTTCATGATAACAGATTCCAGGCAGTTATGTGCATTGCTACAGGAAAGACACAGAGAGAGAGAAAGAGAGAGAGAGAGAGAGAAAGAGAGAGAAATTTAATACCTTGGTTTAAATTCCAGAAACACCATTCCTTTGAATGATATGTTGGTTTAAGTTGATTTAATGCCAAATTTCTTTTCCATAGAAAGGACTATTCCCAAGTATTCCATCCTGAATCCGTATCTTTGTAAGGTTATGCCATTCACAATACATCGACTATATGAATGTTTCATACTATTCTATTGCCATTAAAAGGGGCTTCATTCTTCCATTGTGAGTTTTGTCTGAATAAATGTCTTATATGAGAGCATGCAGCACTTGTAGAGAGATGCCAACAAGCAGTCTGGAGAGATCACTTTTATACTTGCTGATAAAGGCTCTTTCAGCTGCCTTTGTGCAGAACAGCTGTGACATCTAATGACTAGTTAGATCTATCCTTGGTGAGTATGCTGTGTGGATATTCCAGAGGATATATCCCTATACTCTCCAATCTGTATTTAATAGGAGTCATCTCAGCTGAATCAGAAAGCAGCCAGAGGACGGTGGTTAGTTCATCCTATGATGGAACCGACACTTGTTCCAGTAGTTTTGTTCTGCTATCAAAGGCTGCTGTATTTTTCTGCATAGTGAGCTAAAGTATTGAAAATTCGCTTTTGATGGATCAAAAGTGGATTATTAAATTTGATTAATGTAAGATGTGTATGGCTAATGGAATCAGGAGGAAACAGTCACATTTGTAACACCATTCCGAGCAAAAGTATCTTTGAAATCTGTATGAGACTGCATGTTTTAATTTTGTTCTTTATTCTTGTGGAACAAAGAGGCTAGATTAATTAATAGCTGATGGAAAAAGACAGGGGGGTCATTAAAAGTTATCACAAGAGCTTGGTCATTTAAGAGGCTATATTTCTAGACCCATATTTTTGCAGCAGGTCTCAAGAGACTCCTATTAAAGGCCATGGGAATGACTTAGTGGGAGTTTCAAAACAGCGATGAGAGCTGGGTAACTTGATGTTCCTGAAACTCCCACTGCTGGTTCCTATGACGAGAGAATGGAGCATCTGAAGGCAGAGCTTTAGATGCTTTTATTTATTGTGTTCTGTCTCAACAGCCTAGGTGAGTGCCTCCTGGCCAAATGAGGCCAGCAGGAAAGGCAGAGGTTTTGCTGGGCTTATGAGCAAAGGACTGAGCTCCATGCTTGGCAGGTACCCTGTAGCATGAGCTCAGAGTGGAAAGGGGGGGTCTAGGCAAGCAGATTTTACACTAGGTTGTTCAGGGCTTTTCATCAATATACCAGCTATCTTGTATCGATCATAAGAGCCCTATTAAAAATTAAGTAGTGTGAAAAGTGTATTATTTCTGTTTGTTATAGGAAATCAAATATGTTTTATGGCCATGAGTAGAAACTTTAAGCTATTTTGTTAAAAAATGGGATTTTGTTTGAATGTAGCAACTGAATGTGAAATTGAGTATTTATTTTCTTTTTCTTGTTACTAATTTCTTTCTCTTGTTACTAATTTGCTCTCATTTGACTCCATGCTTCCTTTTAAATTTCCTCTCAAGGTATGCACTCTTCCTGTTTACTTCCTTTTGAAAACACCATCTGACCTTGTTTTGATAATTGTGTAATAATTCTGCTCTCTCTTGTTTGTTAACACTAATTCACTTTAAAATGATGTTGTGCAATGTATTGATTTATTGAAACAGTTTGGAAAACAACACATTAGGATAAAGCATTAGTTGTTTGTTTTCAAATTACAACACTGCACACTTGGACAGGTACATCTTCATCAGAAAAAGTGGTATTGGTATTAAAAGCTGTGATTGATTTTTCTGTAATTGTTATCTGAGTAATGGAGAAACATTTCTGTGGTTCGCAGTACAAAACAAACAAATATTCTCTTATTACCAGCCTGGTGTTTATATACTAACCCTTTTTCTCCCTCATCCCTCTACACCAGCCCCTGCAGTGGGTATAAGGAGTCTTCGCATCAGCAGATGGACTGGGAGGATCTGGGGTGCTTTTGGAAAAGGAGGTTGCCAGGCCATGCTCAACTGCGTTCTTGTTCTTTGATTTTGTCTGTCTGTCTGTCCTTTGGCATCAGCTTTGTGGTTTGTTTTGTTTTTCTTTTGCTCCGTCCTGTGCTTGACATCAACTACAGCTATGTTATCCCAGAGCACTTCATGGTAGCAGCTGTTTAATCTTCCCTGTCATGCTCATTGGAAGTCTCTGGGAAAAACAACTCAGTAGTGACATCCGTTTCTCTTTCAAGTGACCTCAACTCTTCTGATAACTGCTCTGGTCCTCCTCTAGCAAGACCCCTCTCTTGCATGTAGGACCTTTGCCTGGGGAAGTGCATTCCTCTTCAATGAATCCAGTCATGCTCACCTCCCCCTGCTCTCAGCTGTTCTCCATTTTTTGTCCTGTATCTGTCTGCTTAGGTCATGCAGGTTGCAAGATCTCAGGGGCAAGATATTTTTACTGTTCTCTGTGCATAATACACTGTATGAACAGGCAGCTCGACACATACGTTTTGTTATTGCAGCAATGTGGGACTGAGGTTTCACTGGTTTGGAAAATGCTTCTCCTCCTGCACATCTTCACCTCAGCAATGCATCTGTCCTGCAAGCAGAAGGGGCAGCTTCTGATACAAGTAAGACATTTCCTAAGGAAAACTGTAGGGAGAATGAGCACACACCATTTTGTTCCATGAAATTTGTCCAAAGACCCTGTCAAGTCTTTTATTCATCTTCCTATTTCAAGAGGTGCTGTAAAGCAAGAGGGCCATGGGACCCTAGAGCAGCAAGATAAAGCTAGTTGTAGTGTGTGCAAGTGAATGTTTAATCTCCTTAGTCTGGCTCTGAAGCTGTCAACCTCACTGCAGGGAGGAGGAATTCAAATCCAGGCCTATCTTCATCTCAAAGATGGAAAGTATGTATTGAAAGAATGAATGAAAGAGGAATGAATTTCACCTGACATAGCCATGTAAAAGCAGTACAGTGTGCTCCAGTCAGGAGCACATCTCACTTCTCTCCATACTTGTTGGAGACAGATGGGCATCTTCAGATCTGTCCCACACTATAGCAAGTGAGGTAAATCTTGTTCGAGGGTGTCTGTCTCCTTTCTGTCTCTGCGATGGCTCCAAAGGGAGCCTTATTCAACGAGTTCAGTTGGCACTGCTTTGTAGATGGCTAAAATTAAGTTTTAGCTGATGTGAGAGTTTGATTTGGTGTGTAGGTTATCAAGTTTCACAAAGCAGCTAAAGCAAGACCCTAACTAGTAAGGGAGTTGGCCAACAAGGGCCTTAACCATCAGGCCCAGTCAGCATGGGTTTATGAAAGGCAGGTCCTGCTTGACGAACCTGATCTCCTTCTATGACAAAGTGACGCGTTTGGTGGATGAGGGAAAGGCTGTGGATGTGGTCTACCTTGACTTCAGTAAGGCTTTTGACACCATTTCCCACAACATTTTCCTCAAGAAACTGGTTGCTCATGGCTTGGACTGGCGTATGCTTTGTTGGGTTAGAAATTGGCCGGGCCCAAAGAGCTGTGGTGAATGGAGTAAAATCCAGTTGGAGGCCAGTCACTGGTGGCATCCCCCAAGGCTCGGTACTGGGGCCAGTACTCTTTAATATCTTTATTGATGATCTGGATGAGGGGATCAAGTGCACCCTCAGTAAGTTTGCAGATGACACCAAGTTAGGTGCGTGTGTCAATCTGCTCGAGGGCAGGAAGGCTCTGCAGGAGGATCTGGATAGGCTGCACCGATGGGCTGAGGTCAACTGCATGAAGTTCAACAAGGCCAAGTGCCGGGTCCTGCACCTGGGGCGCAACAACCCCAAGCAGAGCTACAGGCTGGGAGATGAGTGGTTGGAGAGCTGCCAGGCAGAGAAGGACCTGGGAGTGATGGTTGATAGTCAGCTGAATACAAGCCAGCAGTGTACTCAGGTGGCCAAGAAGGCCAACAGCATCCTGGCTTGTATCAGAAACAGTGTGGCCAGCAGGGCTAGGGAAGTGATTGTCCCCCTGTACTCGGCTCTGGTGAGGCCGCACCTCGAGTACTGTGTTCAGTTTTGGGCCCCTCGCTACAAGAAGGACATGAAAGTGCTCGAGCGAGTCCAGAGAAGGGCAACCAAGCTGGTGAGGGGTCTGGAGAACAAATCTTATGAGGAGCTGCTGAGGGAGCTGGGCTTGTTCAGCCTGGAGAAGAGGAGGCTCAGGGGCGACCGTATCACTCTCTACAGGTAGCGAGTGGGGGTTGGTCTGTTCTCCCACGTACCTGGTGACAGGACGAGAGGGAATGGGCTAAAGTTGCGCCAGGGGAGTTTTAGGTTGGATGTTAGGAAGAACTTCTTTACCAAAAGGGTTGTTAGGCATTGGAACAGGCTGCCCAGGAAGTGGTTGAGTCACAATCCCTGGAGGTCTTTAAAAGATGTTTAGATGTAGAGCTTAGTGATATGGTTTAGTGGAGGACTTGTTAGTGTTAGGTCAGAGGTTGGACTCAAAGATCTTGAGGTCTCTTCCAACCTAGAAATTCTGTGATTCTGTGATTCTGTAAAATCCCAGAAGATGCTCACTTGACACCTACAAAGAATGTAGGGCGAGGTAGATTTCTTGACTTGCTCCATTATTCTGGTGTTATATTTCTGGAATTTACTTTTGCAACCATTCAGTAGCCCTCTGTTGAACACTGCTGCAGCACAGCCCCAGCTCAAAACTTGGAAGCCTTTTAACCTCTTGGGAGGCCCTTGGGAAGGGCAGAAATGCTTCCTCTGCATGTTGGTGATCCATCGGACGTGTGCCTGCCCTGAGGAAGCACACACAGGCCAGAGTGATGGCGAGTTCTCTAAGAGTTCATACCTTGAAAGTCATTGCTTCCTGATGGACATAGAGGTGATGCTTTGCTCCTTAAGCTTCCTTAAGCCATGTAACCATCTGAACCACCTGGCCTATCGGTATGGAGCTAGTGCAGCAGTCCCTGGGGCTGGTAACCCATAGGAGCCAGCCAGAGCCTGCCCCTCCAGTGGGAGCAGAGGTTCTGTGTCCTGGGGAGAGGAGAGTGGAGAGCAGTTGTGTTTCACCGCTTAGCTTAGATCCACATTCCTCTGGTCTATTCCAGACAGCACTTTGTTTTGGTGGTGTTGGCAATAATTTTCTTTGGTGTGCTCTTTAATGTTGGATGGATCTTTCTTTCTTTCTTTCTTTCTTTCTTTCTTTCTTTCTTTCTTTCTTTCTTTCTTTCTTTCTTTCTTTCTTTCTTTCTTTCTTTCTTTCTTTCTTTCTTTCTTTCTTTCTTTCTTTCTTTTTTTTCTTTCTTTCTTTCTTTCTTTTTCTTTCCTTCCTTCCTTCCTTCCTTCCTTCCTTCCTTCCTTCCTTCCTTCCTTCCTTCCTTCCTTCCTTTCTTCCTTTCTTCCTTCTCTTTCTTCTTTCTTTCTTTCTTTCTTTCTTTCTTTCTTTCTTTCTTTCTTTCTTTCTTTCTTTCTTTCCTTCTTTCTTTCCTTCTTTCTTTCCTTCTTTCTTTCCTTCTTTCTTTCCTTCTTTCCTTCTTTCCTTCTTTCCTTCTTTTCATATTAATTTAATGAGATCTTTTCATGGCCCAGGCGATCTCAGGCTCTGGCCAAGACTAGGCAGATTACTGGCCAACCCCCCTTGTGTGGGCAGGGTGGGGACCCAGCACCAGACTTTTGCTTTTTTCCCATCTCCATCTGTTGGTAGGACAACTTGTACCCACTGTCTGGGGATGGCACTGAGGGGCTTGAAGGAAACAAACAAACAGGTAAGAGTTTTCTTGTTTTCTATTTCTTCCCTTCACACAAATTGAGGAGTGCAACACCCAGGTTCCGTGGATTTTATACATTTTGGATTGAATCTTCCTCCATTGATATGGATAAAGAATTAAGGGAAAACATATGAAATAGTTCTGTCTCAGCTCCTGAAATGATTCCTGATCAACACGCTGTGTTTGAAGAATGTGCACTGTGCATGGCAAGCAAATTCCCCACCCAGCTGAGCAGAGTGGTGCTGGTGTCCTTCAGCCCCCAAAAAACATTTTGAGCCTGATGTTCAATTGCTTTAAAGCAGCAAAGAGCTTTTATAGACACACAGTCTAGATCTCCTAACTCATAGGTGTTTTGTAATTGTGCATTAATACATAGGAGGGTTTTATTCCTTCCGGTTTTCTTCTTTGAAAAAATACATATATATATTATTTTTACAACTTACTATGACATTGCTCTGGTGGTTAAAAATCTGGAATATGCTTGATCTGGAACAGTGGGCTTTAGGCATGCAAATTTCAATTAATATAAAGCAAATCAGTTTCTTTCCCCACTTCAATATGCAGATTCAGTGTGTAATCCCTGCTAGGCCATGATGCTCGATCATACTGGATCATTTTTATTATATTAAATTGGGTGTTTGCTCATGCCTTTTTGCTGTTCACCACATCTTACATTTTAAGAGTAAAAGGTATTTTTTTCCTTATGGCTGGTCAGACCCCAAAGAGGCAGTGATGCTGATATGCCACAGCAGGCAAATCAGTCAAGGGGAAAGGCTGGCCAAACAGAGAAAACAAAAGTCTTCTGGCAAAAGACGTCCCCAGCAAAGAGTCTGTAGAAGTCAGAAGAACTTCTTGCTGCCTGAGCCTCCAGATGGAGTGGGCTCAGAAGAACCATTGTTTCTTTGTCCTTGTTTCCACTGAAAGACTTAAGAGGGTTTAACTAATTAAGAATAGGTACATGCTGAGCTTGCTCTCCTGAGGAAGGCTATCAGGAGCCTCTCCACAGATGTCTGAAGGATGAGGACAACAGGGTTGTGCATGTGAATTTCTCTTCAACAACAAAAATAAATCAAGTAATATCTTCGACAAAATTTGATGATATGTGTTTTTCCATAGATCTCTCTCAGGGCGAATTGTCGGAGGAGTCTGGTGGTTCTTCACTCTCATCATTATCTCTTCCTACACTGCTAATCTTGCTGCCTTCCTTACGGTGGAAAGGATGGTGTCTCCCATAGAGAGCGCAGAGGATCTGGCTAAACAAACGGAGATAGCCTATGGAACTTTGGATTCAGGCTCAACCAAAGAATTCTTTAGAGTAAGTTGCATGCTTTAAAGCAGTTCTGTTAAATCTCCATTAGAGCTTTTCTAAACTGTATGTGCCTGACACACAGGGTCATAGTTTTCAGTCATTTGTTTCTACCTACCAGTAAAGCTGTTCTGATGAAATCTGCTTTGTGCAATCAAGCCTGTGTTCAGATTTTAAAGATGCTTTTTAAAAGGCATTTTATCAAGAATTGGTTGTTTTGCTCAACCTGAAACATCCTAAGATGAAAAACCTGACCTCTGCTATTGTGGGAAAGGTTTCTAACACCAGTTTCCAAGCCTTGCTCTGATGAGCAATAATGCAGTCATTAGCACAATATTTAACAAAGAAAACTCTTGGAGAAATGACTCTCCTGACCTACTTGTTCTGTTTGCCTAGCTGGCAGCCATTAATGTCATCCAGCATCGGTGTTTACTTGCCAGAATGAGAAGGGGGTGGGAAGCATATGTTGCCATTTCTGTGTGGGGCACTGATTGCTGCTGTTGCTGTGTCTTCATTGCTCATGAGTGTCTGGCTGTGGCTGTATCAAACAGCCAGGAGTGAAATAATTGTACCTCAGCATGCTATCGTGTGTTCACTTTGCTGATAGAAATGCTGGGTTTGCAGTATTTGAGGATGGGGGGGAGTATGTACATTTATTTAAGATCGTCCTTTCTTTCTCCACTTGCCAAACCACAAGCTGCATAGGAGGTCATTAAAAACTTCATAGGAGGTTATTAGAACTTCTAAATAAGCCCTCAGACTACTTTTTTGTATCTAAAAATGCCTCCAGACCTTTTATTTCTGGTCTTTCCAATGGTGAACTGAAATGCTCAGCCCTTTCAGGAAGCTCCCAGCTCTCTCTCAACAGTGCCAATCAAATGCCATTCAAGCCAGCATTTATTTGTATAGAAAAGTGGTCAGTCTAATTATTAGCCAGCACTAATTAGTGCCTATCACATATCCTGGTCAAATGCAATTGTGAGGGAAGAGGGAGCAGTAATACCCTTGCTGCTGTAGGCTGGTTAAATATTGATGGCTCTTTGAATTTGCTTAAGATGTTGAATGTTTAGGCTACACATAAAAAAGGAAGTAGCGATCAAAGACTGGAAAAACTGAGACTCTTGTAAGATAAATAACATCATCAGAGATACAAGACTACACACACATAGGCAGGTGTGTATAAATCTGACAAAAAAAAAAAAAAAAAGCCAGCAGTGAATACAAAGATATTTTATGAATTTTTTTGTACTCAGCCTTACCTATATGTAATGTCTTCCTATAAAAATGGGTACTTGCTAGTTCTTGTTTAGCCATGGTGGCAGATGCATTACAACAGCTTCTCTTTTGTATTAAAAACCTGTAAGATAAACAGTGACCTTGCTAAGGGTGACATAAGTGTATAAAATTTTGTATCCGGATTAATTGTCATCCTCCGGCAGTATTATCTGTACAGGAAAATGAGTTGAGTGGACCTGTCAAAAAAGGTGGTAAAATTTGCTTAGAAATATTGGTGCTGTTTACAGGCACCGTCGTGTGCTTAGGGGAAAAAGATCTTCCTAGGAGTATCTCGTTACATTAATACAGGAAGAGTGATTGTCTGAGGGTGTTTCTTCATTTCCGTAATAGTTTGACATAACATGGAAATCTCTTCTCACCTGGAGATCAAAGGAATGAATGTTTCTTGTGAAAGGATACAAAGTCTAGTGAATGTGTGAATGCTTTGTTGTGCTGGTAATAGTCTTGGAATGAGCTGTGACTATCATGGTGCTTGGAGAAAGTGGGGCTCTACATGAGGATGATCTGTCAGGAGCTGCCAGCTCCATCAGGGCAGAGGAGGATGAGGTGGGGAGAGAAGAGAGCAGAGCCCTGGTGCAGCAGATCCGGGCATAATGCCCATTCAGTGAGGTCCAGGGGGGCCAAAATGGGGAGGAGAATGGGCCCCAAGTTGTGCTTACTTTTTTTTTCATTACTTTTAAAATTATATTCAAACTGTGATTGTTTCTTCTTGACAGTCTCAAGGCACCCAATATCATTTCAGTTGTATTAACTTTTGCAGAGTAATTAATTTGAGCGGAGTGATGCAGCCACAAAACTGTTGTAATTAATCTTCTTCAGTTGATTTAAGAAGGGCAAAAACTTTGCCATATATTAAATACATACACTCACATAAATACTTCATTGTATAGTCTTTATTAGCTACCTAGTAAGGTGGTAATAATGGCTGTAACTTGAAATAACTCTTGGAGGACACTTGGTTTCTGAGTGCCTGCTGCACAGAGGATGCTCAGTCTGTGCTTTGGGCTGTTTTTCTCCCTCTGAGCTCTTTTTGCACCGCTTCTGGAGCACCACTGGGAGTGATAGTGGTCTGAGCCAGAAAAAGCCTTGGGTTCTGCTGGGTTTACTGTAATGTTTATTCCCCTTGCAAGGGGAATATCCTCATCCTGCCATTCCCCACCAGCATTTAACCAATTTGAGAACAGCTGGCTGAGTGGGTCAGGATCATAACTATTCAGCGAGAAAGGACGATTATAACTGAGGGGATAGCTACATGGGCAAGTTAGTGCAGTGCTTATTCTAATTTCCCGTACATATGTATGCACACTGTGGCTGTGACACGTGAGAGGTTGCTAAATCTTCCCAGGTGATGGGAGAAGATACCTGGATGCGAGCACGTGCATAGAGGCACCAAAAACAGTAACTTGGCTTTGCAGCTGGGCCTTGGCTTCACACAGGAGGCACAGGGCAAAGGCTGTCCCAAGAGCCTGGAGAAGAGAAGGCTCTGGGGAAGCCTTAAAGCAGCCTTCCAGGAGTTAAAGGGGGCCTCAAGGAAAGCTGGGGAGGGATTCTGTGTCAGGGAGTGTAGTGACAGGACAAGGGGGAACAGTTTTAAACTAAAAGAGGATAGGTTTAGATCAAATACAAGAAATTTTTCAGTAGAATGGTGAAGGTGGTGAGGCACTGGAACAGGTTGCCCAGAGAAGATGTGGATGCCCCATCCCTGGAGGTGTTCAAGGCCAGGTTAGATGGGGCTTTGAGCAATCTGGTCTAGTGGCTTCCAACCCAAACCATTCTGTGATACTAAGATCCCATCGAGAAGCTTTTCTGGGTTTATCTCTTAATAGAGGTGTAATGCTAAGACATTTCTTAAACAAAGATACTGATCAGATATTGATCTTCATGCCTTTTGTTGGCCAGTGAAAGGTGCTAGACTGACCACAGTGAGGGAAAATCTCCTAATGCATCACAGAAGGATATCACATAAAAGAGCTTCATGTACCCACCATCTCATCTACACAGTTTTAGAAATAGCTTCTTTAGATCCTTCAGTCCATGGCTCCTTTCTGCCAGCTGCATTTCCAACTAGGATCACTTTGGAATGTTTCTTTTACAGTGTGGATACCTATCTACATGGAACTGGACCGATACCAGCCCCTCATTTCACATGAACAGATGGTAATGACTTCTAGCCGCTTCACAACTGGTCAGATTCCAGCTAGTGACCTATTTTGTAGTGTTGGCTGTTTCCCTAAATGTCACAGTGTCTCCCAGATAGATGCTAACCCAGCAATGTAGATTAAAGCTAGATACAACATTGCTGTTTCGAGCATGCATGATGAACACTTGTCAGTGTGACGTTGCTCTTACAGTTAAAACATTAGAGCATATTTTTTGTAACATTTTCACAGCAGGCTCTGTTCACTCTCCTCAGTGGTTGGTGACTCTCTGCATCAGGGTATTTGTCCGCCCAGTATATATAAGAAACAAATGAGCCTTCCTATGTTTTTATGTTTGTTGCTCATTTCTGCTCAGAAACATTTTATGTTTTGCACTAATTAGCTTATAAAAGCATTTAAATGGCAATCAATACATTACACCAATTCCCTTTTGGCTTTCAAAGGGCATTCATCCATACTGAAAATGAGAAGAACCTCTTCTTAGATATTTACTTGCATAAAGTCTCAGATTAAAGGCTCAAAAATAACTTTCTTTTTCTTGAAAACCAACGAAGGACTGTACTAGAAAGCAGTTACAAATAGCAACATTGCTCCTTTAAGGACATATCTTTTAAAATTAATATTTTCTAATACATTCAATTAAAGCTTCAGCATATATGAGCAGCTCATCAAATCAATATAACATCATTTAATCCAAATTCAGCACTGAGCCTAAGTTTAATACCACAGTCTAATAGGTTTCTGACCTCCAGGATGCATTTATTCAAAAGGCGTGAACTTTACAACTAATTAATAATTCTTATGTAAACTTAGCTGTATTTAAATTTCTGTAGAAGAACATGTTTCTAGACATTTAGAAATAGAAATTGCTCTTCAGTTTATTGTGGTTTCTTTTATATAACACATTCTATAACGTGCTAACATTCTATAACAGATATCTGTATTAAGAGGCTTTTGAAAGGTTTCTTTAAAATAACTCATATGGTAGATGTTTGGTCATTAGTAAACAGCTGACCAACCAGTACACTTCACTGAAAACCTGAAATTTCAGAAGGTATCCTTGAATTTTATGTAATATGACAGGATGAAATATTGAGATAGGTGACATTTAGCAAGATCTTCCATTAGGTCTTTTTCTTTTTTTGTGGGAAACTGAAGCATCTCATATCATACCATTGCCAATGTAGTTAATTACTGTTAACTAAAACTCAGAGAAAAAAAAAAGGAGGCCTCAAAGGACTGATATTTTATTGTACAACTTTGTATTTTCCTCAACAATGGTTTTAAGGATGTCCCTGACAAAACAACTGCTATCCAACAGTTCGCCAGTGCCTCAGATGAAATGACTTGCTGTTCTCAAGTCAGTTCCTTTTTTTTTTTTTTTCCTGGAAATGGCATCATTTCTTGGGACTGTTAGGAGTTTCAGCAGAAAGGCCAAAGATCCTTTGGATATGATGGTTGTTCTGCTACAGCTGGTTACTCCTGCCTGGCACTGATGTTCATTAGTAGGGGACAGAGAATTTGACACTGAAATTGCTTGTGCTGTTGATAAAGAGAATCATAGAATCATAGAACATCCTGAGTTGGAAGGGACCCTTAAGGATCATCAAGTCCAACTCTTGACACCGCACAGGTCTACCCAAAAGTTCAGACCATGTGACTAAGTGCACAGTCCAATCTCTTCTTAAAGACTTCAGGCTCAGTGCCTGGAGAAGTCAAACAGGATGACAGCCTTCAAGCACAGCTTAGATACTTGAGATACTATTTTTAGGATTTGTTTTCAACATTGTATGAAACTCACAGCTTAAATTAAACTCTCTGTTACTTCAGGACACACGGGAGCAATAGTTGAGTTGAGGACATCAAAGAGCCAATGAAACATGTTTTTCTGGTGCCTCCTTTGGGAAGACTTCACTTCTCATTGCATTTGGATACCCTACCCAGACACTTAGTAGTATCTTTCTCTTAATTAATGTTGTGCTAGGAAGCGATACTGTTCTCTTACTTCTTTGCAGGAATACTCAGCACTTAAAATTCCTTTTCAGCAGTTTTCTCAAAAAGTTGTTCATTCTGAGTCAGGCTCAAATCCAAGCCCTTTCTGGACCTCATACATACACAAATATATGATATAAAAACATTTTTAAGATATGAAAAGTCATACTAAGAATGGGCCTAAGATGGTCCCCACTTTCACTTTTCCTCTCTTCTTGGTTTCATGAAGTATGAATCAGCAAGAGCAGACAGAAAAGCATGCCATGTCCTGGCAAGATGCTTTGTGTTTCTTTTAAAAAGAACTTTAAATATAACTTGTTTATCTGATAAAACTAAATCTGATATAAAAATATATATATTCAAAAGATTAGTGCCAAAGCAGAAAGTAAACATTTATCTGAAAAAATAGCAAGAGAACAAATTAACAGATCAACCCCAAATTCCTTGGAAAAAACAAACAAACAAATAAAAAAACACTTAAACTCATCAAAAGGATTTTGAAATACCTTCCATTAAAAGCCCTTTGGGTGTCTTTTCTTCAGGCAGTGCTTTGTAATGAGATGAACAAGGTACAGCTGTGGTGACACCCATGGGTCCCTGCTGGATGCAAAGAGCCAACTGCCTACGGTGATCCCAACCCAGCCAAAAGAGTGAGAAGACCCTGAGACCCTGAGGCCCTCAGCATGAGGGTGAGCTGTGGCCAGTGAGGCCAGTCCCTCAGGGAGGAAAGTCAGGTAGGCAGGGGCACAGCACAATCCCAAATTCATTAGGGAGAGAGGGAGAAATAATGACTCTAATAGGCTCTGAAGCACTAGCATATTATGCACCAGTTAGAAGATAAAGAGCTCATTGCTTTCCTCTGATAAGGTTGTAGGAAGACGAGAGGCAAGGGAAATAAATTCTACCAGCAAACAGTTTAGTTGAGGGAAAGCCATAAATTACGACCCAACAGTTGCCATGTGATTTTTGTGCATTTTGTGCAATCAACAGTACTGAGACCATCATTAAAGCCTATTAAAGCCACCATTGTGAATTCTGTACCTGCAGTGCAAAGGGTTTCATTGTAGTTAAACTCCTTGATTTTTAATTTCAAAATTTATTTTGCCAGTGAAGATGAAGGACTTGTTTCTAACACAGAATTCATACACATTTTCCTTTTGCCTTTGGATAAAACTATGATTAGCACTTTCAAGCTTTCAGTATTCCTGGCACCGAACAAAACAACACAGTGATCATAACAAATGCCTGACAAAAATATTGAAGTGTGGTTGTTATTTATGGACTTTAAAGAATAGAACATCACAGAAAAGTGATAGCTTCAAATATGAGCTGCGTTGATCTTTGATGCGCAACGTGGCAGCAATTAATCAGAAAAAGAGCTATGTTTTAACTGCTTTTCAACACAGAAAATATGAAAAGCTTATTCACCCATATATTCTTCTCTCCCTTCCCTGTTTGACATAGGTGAGTGTGTGAATGGATACTGAAATGAAAGCATGTGTGCAGGGAGTTCACCAGCTCTCCATTGCACAGTGAAGCACGGTCTACTTGTAGGTTATTTTCTCTTAATTTGTCGAGCCTCTCTTCTGCCACATGGATAACAGGCAGTTTTAAAGATGACAGGAAATCAAATGTGACATAATTATAAAAGAAATGGTTTCCCATGAAGTGATCTAATGTCCTTAAGCCTATGGATTGGAAAGGAAAATGTATCCTTATGGGAAGTAAAATTAGCAGCTCATCCATCATCCGCTCCTTGGCAAAGGATGTGTTTGTGTGTAAGCAGGGGTTAAGGTACCCGAGCCATTCTACTAACTTCAAAAGACAAGCCAGGCTTCAGTGAAGCTTTCAATCAACATTTAGTAACAAATATTTGAATAAATCTCTCCTTATCTTCAATAACAGATGGCATTTTCCTATCAGCTCTACTTGTGTTCCTTATTAAGGCTTTCCAGCTCACATACATCTTGATCCTGTTCAGAAATTGATTTCTCCAAGTCCAGGGTTGCCAACTGCATTGCACAGGGGAATTTTGTGCTCGGGTCCAGCAGTGAGCATGGAGCCGAGCCCACAGTCAGGATGAGTGCAGTGGATAGCAGAGGGTTAATCAAATAATCATGTCTGCACTAGAGGAGGAAGCAGGGAGTGCCTCGGGGGAAAATCACTTGCTGTTTGAACGCTCTACTTCTTGGAGAACAGCTATCTGATAATGATAATGACATTGCTCAAGACAGTGAGGACCCTGGGTTTTCAAGTCTCTCCTACCTTATGTAATGTGACCATGTCACATTAATACATGCTTGTTAGGGATTCATTTAAAATACATGGGTGCTGATAAATTACTTATAATGCTGCTACTGTTATTTTTGCATAATTAGAAAATACATGGAGGTTTAGAAACTCTAATGACGAGAATATGAAACATCCCCTCTTGCAGTCCGCTGAGGTTTCTCCCTCATTGCCTGTATATTGGCCTGTTTTGTCTGGAGCTGAAAACTCATTAGGTCTGACAGTGTTCAGATACTATGCTGGAAACACTGTTCTCTGTTAATTTATTAAGGGCTGAACCCAGTGCAGGGCTGGGGGCTTGCTTGGTTGCCCAGGCAAGACAAGTCTGCTAAATGTGTCACGGCTGGAAGGATGCCCCTCCGCCTGACGTAATCCTGCCCTCCAGCCATTCATACACCAGCCTCCTGCTCCTGGGGCAGACAGACAGACAGATGGACGGACGTTCACACAGCACAACCGTACTGGTCTGCAGTGGTGCCACCAGCCCCGTTTGTCGCCTCTTCCTCGTGGTGAGCGCTCAACGTGCACGGCTCCGACCATGAATCACAGGAGGATTCACAAAGACAGCTTGTCTCCTGGTAAAGACTTTCATTTTAATTTTCTGATCAGTGTTGCAATGTGCAGGAATGGATGGCAGCAATAAAGCGAAGAGATGAATCTAGGCACAGGCTGAAGTTAAATATTGTGCCAGGAAGGGAAGTTTTAAATCTTGATTTACATACTGCTCCTCAGACTGTTACTGACATGTCAGCGAAGTCTCGTTGCAGCCAGAGTGACTGTTTGCTCGCCTGTCTGTGTGAGCGGAGTGCATCTGAGACAAGGTGTCTGTTACAGCAGCTGCCCACTGCTAAAGCCCATGTTTTCAAAATGACCATGAAGCACAGGAAGAAAGCCTCAAAAGAAAATTCTTACATGCTATTTTTACAAGATGGACTTTTCTCTTGTAATTGGGACACTGAGTGTCAGGTGTGGTAAAGCAGGAATGCTGCTGGAGCCTGAAGGATTTTTTGCAGGCTTCGTCCCCATCCCTTGCATGTGCAGTGCTGATGATGGGCCTCCCTGCACACCTCCTCCACCTCCAGCTCCCTCCCAGGCTCCAGCCAGGCTCTGCCCAGGGGTGGAAGCAGCCGGGGGCTCAGGGGTGACTGCTCCAGAAAGTGCTCACTGTCCTGACAGCCCCTGTACAGGGCCTGGCCAAGCCTTCGCTTAGGGGACCCTAGAAGGAAACAGAAGGCCCTGGGCTTGTGGGCCTGATCCACCAGCTCTCTGAGCTTCGTTTGCCTCAACTGGGAAAGGAGATTACTACTTCTAAGCAGAAGTTAGAACTTCATTAGCATTGGCAACAAACCACCGTGACAGTGTCTCCCATCCCAAACTTGACTGTGAACTATTCACCCTTTCCTTTACATTTATGCGTACATTTTGTATATTCCTGCAAATATAAGGACTAGTTCACATACACGTGCTTTAGCCTTGCTTATCAGCAGTGTCCCCCAGATCCATATGCTGTGGATAGGGTTTGGCAGATGTGGGGGCTGGGCTTGCTGAAAGAGAAGCACCATGTGTTCACTCGTGGCTTCTGACCTACTTTCTTCTTCCCAGAATGTAATAAAAACAAGAGGTTCATGTAATGATGGGATTGATTTTTCTGTCCATATAGGTAAGTAAATTGCTGGCATCACAAGTTATCTGTGGCTAAAAGCTGTGACATCGATCTATTAGACTGTGCCCTACGACCTTCAGTAAATGACATCCCTGCCTTCATGTCCACAGCTGGGAAAGGAGACTAATGTGCCCTCGGGCCTTCTCTGAGACCTACTTTTTCCTTCACAGTAAAGAGCTTGGAAATCTCAGGCAAAGGCACCTTAATAATAATATTATCACATTGATGTTGTCAAAGCAGCAGTGTTAGGCCAGGCTCCGCCTGCTTCAGAGATGGCATTTGGCCAGGGGCACCGGCCCCTGCCTTGCACTCCTTCCTGAGGCTGC